GCTTTTCTTTGCAAGCTCCTTTGACTACGATGACCTGGATGACTGAGAACCTTCACAGACATCTCCCCAATAAGTCCCTCCATAAACTTCAACTTCTTCAGAATTTTGCAGCCCAGGTCATAACTCGGACTCCCTTAAGAGACCATATCACCCCCATTCTTCAACAGCTTCACTGGTTGCCCATAGAAGCCAGGATAAGCTTTAAAATCTTAGTTCTCACGTTTAAGTGTATTCATGACCTTGCCCCTCCTTATCTCTGTGATCTGCTTCATATCACCACAGTTTGCCGCTCTTTCAGATCTTCATCTGCCACTCATCTTGTTGTTCCTTCTGCTCGCCTTACAACTATGGGGCACAGAGCTTTCAGACGCTCTGCTCCTCGGCTCTGGAACTCACTTCCTTCAGCCTTAAGAAATATAGGTTCCCTTATTTAAATCACAACTCAAAACCTACTTGTTTAAACTGGCTTACTCGCTTTAATGCACATTTTACTTGCTGTCAAATTGTGGGGTTTTTTTGTTTGTTTGTTTTGTTTTTAATTTGTTGTTTGTGGTTGTATTTTGCTGGTTTCTGTATTTTAATTTATTAGAATCTATTTTAACCTACTGTTTTATTTGATGTGTTTTTCTCTTTGTAAGGTGAACTTTGGTTTTAGAAAGGCGTTTTCAAATAAAATGTATTATTCCATCCATCCATCCATCCACTTCCGCTTATCCTTTTCAGGGTCGTGGGGGGCACTGGAGCCTATTCCAGCTGTCATAGGGCGAGAGGCGGGGTACACCCCGGACAGGTCGCCAGTCTGTCGCAGGGCCAACACACAGGGACAGACAACCATTTACACTCACATTCACTCCCACATTCACACATATGGGAAATTTAGATTTTTCAATTAACCTATCCCCACAAAGTATTATATTAATATTAATATTATTACTATTCTGCAACACAGATGGCAAATGTTCCTGTGATCTCTTTATGCTGGTAACAAAAATGTGAATGAAGAAATAATTCAGATATAAAATAAACACCTGTTCATGGTGAAGTATGTAACTGATGTATTCTCACCATGAAGTAAACTCTCCTGCTGTCTGACCATTAGCTCCAACATGTGTTGACACTGAGCAGTGAGTTGTTGTCTTTGCACCAAACTGCACAGCTGTGCACGGCTGATTTCCTCCAACAGAGTGATGATGGTGGTGTTGTCCTCTAACTTCTCCCTGTATATGAGTTTGCCAGTCATCTTTACAAACAGCCTGCTAAGATAGGGTTTCTTACATTTCTGGGGTGTGTGTAATCTAATTGACAATTAATAAATCTGTCCATCTTCAATGTTTCAAGGATTTCTGTGAGTTCTGTTTGGAAATAAGTAACAGAGGATGTAATTATCAACATATGTGATGAATCTCTGCAATCTTTCCTCAGAAAACCACTTTGTGGATAAACACAGAGTGGAGCTGATCCAGAGAGTGAGCAACATCGAGCCAATTCTGGATGAGCTCCTGAAAGAAAAAGTTATCCAGCAGGAAAGTTATGACAGAATCAGAGCTCTGCAGACCTCTCAGGAAAAGATGAGGGAACTCTACAGCGGTCCCCTGAAAGCTGGCAGTGCCTCCAAAGATGTCTTCTACCAAATCCTTCAGAGACACGAGAGACTCCTTCTTAATGACCTCTGCTGAAAGGACGTTTGCTGAAATCCATTTTCTGTTTATGACGGATTTATAACACTGGTTATAATTTGGACCTGGTGACATCATACAGGCTACAAACGTTTACTCTGTTGTTAATAATTACAGGTGCTGGTTGCTGTACATCAGTGGTGTCAAACTCAGTTGCACAGGGGGCCAAAACTCAAGGCACACTTTAGGTTGTGGGCCAAACAAGATAAACATTTATTGAACACACTAAAACATGTTTTTTAAACATAAATGTGAATAAAAACAGACAGGAATATTATTCCAGAATAAATGCACTTAAAAAAATAAACTTGAACTTTGTATTTGATTTATTTTATATTTTGCTCTCCATCAAAATATATCCTGTCAAAATTATGCAAATTAGAAATATGAACATGCTGCCAAAAAACCCAGAAAAAATAAATGACAGCAAACACAAGGTTGGAGCCGCATGTAGACGAGCAAAGTGCGCCGACTTTGTTCAACATTACTCGGCAACAGGGAAAGTGAGGCAGGTTGCACTGGTGCATCTGT